CTGAAAGGCCTAGCCTATTGCTACCAGAGTGTCTGTTTCATTTATTTATCTTTTTAATTCCCCTTTATCATTCTGATACATATTAGGTTCAGTAAAATCCTAGCAGTCAACAAATATTAGGTAATAATCAGGTTTGTGTTTACTTTGTTACTGATTCTACTTCCTTAAAATTTATATCATTTGGGAGAAAACTCATGTTTTTATGGGGTATATATTTAGAATTATAGATTCTTTTCCTGGATGTTTTGCAATGTTACAATTAGCTCAAAATAACAAACAAATATTTTTAAATATCAAGACATTACCTCTCAGTACTCACTAATTTCCTGATTACAGATTAATGTCTTTTTGTCTTAAGTTGTATTAGCAGTGATACATGGTCAAAAGATAATATCTGGTGCTGTAGAAAAAATGATATGTTTTTGATTGAGTTTTTTCTGTTCAACAGTCTAAGAAATTTGATATTTTTATCCCCAATCTTCAGATGAGAAAACAACGAATTAATGTGTTAGTGGTCAGAAGTTTGTAGTTATGTTTGTTCCCAAAGTCCATGTTTTAAGCTATGGTTATCACTTTCATTCCAGTTTTCCCTGATAGATCTAAGTGTCTATAGGACAGGGGCTTTTATATTTTCATCTCTGTAATCAAAGGACGTGTGAGCACAATGAATTTTGAAAGAATGAAAACAACAGAAGCTTTTCTCATGACTCAACCCCCTCACTTTACAAATCCTTAGAAAAGATATAATCTAGCTGCAACTTAAGCCAGTATCTCACTGCAATGAATGTGAAATACACAGTTTCTCCTTGAAAATAAGCTTTAAGAAAAAAACTTGATTGATCTTATAAATTGCCATAGAAAATATGAGAGGGAGGAGATCAGGTGAATAGAGATTTATTCAACTCAAGAGTCAAAAATTTTGCAAGAATACAAAGATTTGTTTGCATATGGATTTTGATAGCAAATTCACTGTAAATCTGAAATAGGATTCAAAGTTTTGCTTAGGACGAATCCTATGAAAAAAATTTGAGTAGTTACTTGTTTATGGATGTGAATAAGAAACTCAATGTACAGGTGGGATTCTTCATTGAAGGCAATTACAATATGATTTTATGTTGCCTGCTTTGCCACATTAAAAATATTTAAAGATCAAGCATAGAAACCAAATATTAAGTAGAAACTACCTGCCATGTTTTAGAGGTGAATAACAAACATATTAAAATAACCCCATTCTATTTAGTCTTACAAAATGACATCACATCTTTGTGATTTGTGAACATCAGGAAATCCTGTGATACTTTGAAATCTGTTACACTTTTTCATTTTGCCTTCCAATCCACTGCCATTTGCAAATTCTTTCATTTCCACATACTTTTATGGGGTGTCTTCATGGTTAGCAGTGAGATGTTGCCTGTATTCTTGGGCAATTTGCATTTGAGTGATGGAGACTAAGAATCCTGAGTGCAAGATGCATGCTAAGTACATGTGTGTGTATAGGCTGAGTCACAGGACAGGGAAGACATGCGTGTAAGGAGTTGAAGAAACTGCTAGTTGTTGGGGTGTGAAGGATGACTATGTGTACCTCCTCCCCCTGATCAGAGTACCTGGATTTCTGGAAATTTCCCTTCACTTCTGCACCTGTGACAACACAATACTCATTCTTGGCACATATTTTCAGCTCACAAGATACTTAGAGAATCAAATGAATGTGTTATCTTTGCGAAATCTTCCTTTTAGTTTGTCAACAAGGTAATATAACATAGTGACAAACACAGGTCCTAGCTAGTTTTGAAGCTGGCTTCACCATTTGTTAACTGTGTGACTTGGGCGAGATGGTGAGCTGCTTGTAGCAGACACTTGGCACTAATGATGCAGGAAGGACTACACAGAATCCCCACTCAGGTATCCCCAGCAGCCATGTTCCCTGTGTCGCATTTTCAAGTCTGTATTGGATCAAACTGGGATTTAAGCAAAATCCTAGGACTTGATATAGGAAAATAAAAGATTTTTTTTTTGGTTTGTTCTTTTACTTGGGATGGTTAGCACATGGTGTGATGCAGCCAACCTCACTAATTTGTCAGAACTCGAGAAAGATTCAGAATTTTATAGTGAACTCAGATACCCCATGCCCAGACCATATGATTTACTTGTTTGCTTGTAGCAAGTGCTCACTGTGACAAACAAACCTGTGAGACAAGGGTAGCCACACCTATTTATGATTTTAAAACCCCCACAGTGTGCTGAAAAGCTTCCAGTTATTGTCTATGTTGGTTGCATCTCACACTACCGGGACTACACAGAAGAACCTGCCAGTGTTAGGAACACATTGAAAACCTGAGCACCTTGCAAGAGCAGTGTGGTTGTATGTAAAATGAAATGCCTGGTTACAGCTTAGAGCCCTTGCACAGAGAGGAGAAATGTGCAGTGCTATTAGCAGGTGTGCAAAGAGTCCTAGTGATTCCTCGTGAGTCCCGGAAAAGTGCAGTTCCCAGGCAAGGGACAGCACCACTACTTTTCTCTTTTTCAGTGCCAGCCAGGTATTTTCTAGTGTCTCCCTGGAAGTTGTAGATGTATACCTCTGCTTGTCTTTACTCCTTATAAGAGCCCCCTGTGCTACACAGATAATGTCTGTCCTGTTGGAGCACAGCAGGTTTTTACTAGCCTCATGGTTTCATTCTGGGAATAGAAACATCAGAAAATGGGAAAAATTTGCATAGCATTTACCATTCCTGCTCCTGCTAGAAATTTCCCAGTGAATCAAGGACAGGAGGAATTACTTATAAAAGCTATTTGGAGAATGTATTCTCCAAATTGGAGTGATTTGGAAAGGGGCAGTTGTTTTAAACTACGTCTGCCCAAGCCATCAGGACATAGGGTTATTTTGGTTATCCAAGAAACTTTCATTCTTGTATTTCCTGCTTTACTGCAAAACTTCTATGGCTAGATGGTTGTTACCTAAATCCCATTGGTGGTTGAGAAGTGACAGGATCTGTGTGGATAGTAACTAATTTGGGGGAGCTTTGGATATAAATGTTTGAGGTAGAATTTGCTGTTGCTTCATTGCAGGGAGGTTCTTTCAGCCTAACACAGAGAAGTTGTCTGTGAAGATTAATCTAGTTCTATGTGTCTCTGGGTGGCCTGTCATCAAAAATACTGAATTAACTTCATTATCCAGGGTCAATCCTCCCTTTCTGGGAGACTTATTCTCCAGTCACTTCTCTATTTCAAACTTTCAAGCAGTTGGTGATCCAAGGTGTGTCCCACAAAATCACATACCTGTACGATGTCAGATATGACTGGCTCAGAGGCTGCTGAGATTTCCTGGAGATTAACAATAAATGCACACATAGTCTGACTGCAGCAGAGGAGGAAGGTACTGGAGAAGCACCATATGCTGAGGTCTATATTTACAAGCCGTGGGATGCTGGATGTCACAGAAGTATATGTTCTGAGTGATATAAATCACAAGGAAGAAGATGACAGTTGGCAGGAAAAGGCCAACTGGCATTGCCCAGAATAAAAGGCGATATCTTTTCTTTCTACTTGGCTGGAATACCAAGAGAGGAGAAGGTCAGGTTTCAAACCACATTCATAGCCCAGTGCACAACTCAGAACTTGTTAAGGTCCAGGAATCACTATAGCTGATTGTCCCTGAGCTGCTGTGTCCAACAGGACACTGTTGGGGGAAAAAAAATCCAACATGCTAATTATTCTTTATGTGTTATATGCCAGTGTTAATTAGAGGTCTTGTCATATAAGACTGGAATAGTTTAGATATTTCCAGGAGAAGTAGTAGAAAATTCCCAGGCAAAAATGACTATATTCCAAGAAAAAATTGCATGGAGACATTTTATAACAAGGTGATGCTAGCATGCAGTCTCCAGCTTGTCTTTCTGCAATGGTGTCAACTTCCTTCAGCTCAGAGGCAACGCTTTGGGCTAGAGAATTTATGTATGATCCAGGTGTCTGCTGATTCTAAAAAGCCAGCTCCTGGAGCAAGGAATGCTTAGAAGAACTCCTTTTAGCAGGAATGACTGAAAAATGAGTCTGGTTGACTATCATAAATCGAGTCTTGAAGTCAATCAGCAGCTTTAAAAGAATTGGAACAGTAGTTCCCACACTCTGCCTCCTCCTCATACTACTTTCATGTGAAATTAATGGCATGACCAATAAAAGCACTCCCCAATCAAGTATATTTGAAAACATTGCATATCCTTTTTTTTTAAGATTTATTTATTTATTTGTTTGTTTATACAAGCACTGGGCACAGTCAGAAGCATGGGAGGGTTAGAGAATCCACCAGAGCCAGAGCGGGGAGCAGAACAGGCAGAAGGACCGAAGTACACTGCTGAGGGGAGCAGTGGGTACAGCAGGAGAGGTCTGTGCACCATGTGGGACCCTTGCTGAGGGCCAGGATCGAACTGGTGCTGTAGAGGCTGCTGGCAGCTTCGCAGCCCAGAGCTCAACTGCTGTGCCACCGGGGAGGCCCAACGTTGCATATTCTTATTAAGTTTTTCAGGGTTTATAAATATGAGTATTTGAGACTGCAGTACTAAAAATAATGAGTTTAACCTAACCAAGAGCTTCCTGAACTTATTTTTCATAGATAAGTTTAAAGAACACCAAATAATGTCTTGGATGACTATTTTGGGAAGCAGTGAATCAGAGAAAAGTCATTCAGGACCAAAACAGTGCTGAACATCCTCAGTTAGTTTTTGTTTTGGTGATTCAGAAGCTAGGATGGCGTCTGCAGTTAGGAATGTCTTCATGACCACCTGCTCTCATTCACTGCTCACTATATAAGTGTCAAAAAAAATGATGCTTCAATGTGTTGAACTTCTGGGGGGAAAAAGGAAGTTGGTTCATTCTGCAACTTTCACTTTAGGTGACTAACCAGGTCTAATTGGTATGTTGACATGAGCATGTTTTAGGTGTTTACTGAAAGGTTAGTGACAAAAGAAATTAATGTCCTGGTGGGCTTGTGTTTTTCTCTGAGGCAGATATTGATGAATGTACAGAGGGAATCATTGAGTGCCACAACCACTCCCGCTGCGTTAACCTGCCAGGGTGGTACCACTGTGAGTGCAGAAGCGGTTTCCATGACGATGGGACCTATTCACTGTCCGGGGAGTCCTGTGTTGGTAAGCAGCTTTCAGCCATGCCCTCCATCCATTTGCACTTTGCAGGAGGGGCAGCCTGCTTTTCATTCTATTCCGCTCCCAGTGTTCAGATATGATCACTCCAGTTAAATTTATCAAGTTTCCTCCCTCTGCCATTCTGGAATTAGGCCAGGGATTATGCAGTGTGGGGATTAGAATTTTATACAGAAACTGAAACAGAGGTCCAAAGCCTAGGTGGGTATGTCATGGTCTCTTGTTCTTTCCAAAGGAAGCCAGGATGGCTTGTTGAAATTTTGAATAGTATGAAAGGCAGCTGTGGGAGAGAAGGAAATAAAATGGAGTTAGAAAGTTTAGTTTAAATCCCAGCTCTTCCACCAAAAAAAGCCTGTGAATATGTAAAAATTAGTATACTAGTGTTCAGATGTTGTTAGGATTAAATGGGACACCATATATTTAAACATCGTAAGCTTTGAATTGATGCACACATTTGACCTATTGGCATTAACCTAATTATTTTGCTATTACCACCACCATCATCCTTACGAGGTCTCTTTTCATGATTGATATGCTTCTGGTTATGTTAAATGCTGAACAGAGGAAGTTAACAGATGGAATTCTTCACCTTCTAGACCTTACAATTTCCACGAAATCCAAAGAACGGATCAAAAATGTAATTGTTTCTTTGACAACCTTGGCCAATCCAGCTTTTTCCTGTAATGTGACCCAGCTGAATTCTTAATACTGACTTGTTCAGATTGCTGAATTAGGAAATGAGAAGTTGATTTTTGAAAATTTGTTTTCTCTGCTCGTTGCATACTTTTTTTTTCCCCTAAAAGTTGCTGCTGAGACCCAGGCAGTGTTTTTCCCTCTTCTACCCTGAGGTTGCCCGAGAGCAAAGATAAATCATAGAACAAAGGGCATGTAGCACGAACTGTTCTCCACCATCTTGCTATTCCTGTTGAGAAGCATACAGGGTTGTGGTTAAAACATGCAGACTTGGGCCTCCCTGGTGGTGCAGCGGTTGAGCGCTGGGTTGCGAAGCTGCCCGCAGCCTCTGCAGCATCGGTTCGATCCCTGGCCGCCTGGCGAGAGTCCCACATGGCGCACAGACCTCTTCTGCCCGCTGCTCCCCTCAGCAGTGGACTTCGTCAGTTTGCCTGGTCTGCTACCCGCTCTGGCTCTGGTGAATTCTCTCAGTGCTTGTATAAATAAATAAATAAATCTTAAAAAAAAAAAAAATGCACCCTTGAGCCAGCCTTCCTGCAGTCAAACTCCAACTCTGCCACCGCTAAGTAGCTTACTTTGGGCCAGAATCTATCTCGTCTCTATCTCAGTTATCCCCTCTTTTCAATGGAAATATTGATAACTAGTTCATTTAAGTGTCAGAAGAATTAATTTAATTAATGTCTGTTGGATATTCTTAAAATGTTAGCTTTTGTTATCTTAAATGTTCTTACCTTGTCAACATTCTGTCTCATACTCTTTGTGTTCCTTTTACTCATAAAATAATGACTTGCAACATTTGGGTGAGGTTTGTATTTATCCTGGCTTTTCACATACCCCTTTACACATGACCAGGATCATTCCTGTGTACACCTCAGTGTAAATAGATGTTATGTGAATAGATCAAATGACTCTTTTTGGATGGACATAGAACATTAACATAGATGGTAACTAAATTTGGAGGCTAAAAATAATTTTGAAAACTGTAGTTGACACCATTCAATCGGATACTGTTAGCTTTGTAGTGTATTGACAACTAGATCACCTAGTTGATTTATTTTCTTACCTCCTGGACTTTCCATGATGTTGCACCTTCTTTGCTTTTGTATATACTGTCTCTCTGGCTGGAATGGAACAGGAATCTGAATCAAAGACGACCCTCCCTTTTTCTTGATCATGTGGATTCCCATATGAATTTCAATTCAGTTTCCTTAATACAGCTTTGTTTTCACTAGACCTTCATAAAGCATTTTTGATCTCTTCATGGGAGTCATCACCTCTCTTCTTTGCTAACTCTAGGCCTCTTACCCTGGTGTGTGTTTATGTGGCTTCACTTGTTACAAATCATATAAATTATTTACTCCGACTTGACTATGGACACAAGATAGACTTTTTTCCTTCTGTCTCTACAGTGATACCATTTGGTATTTGGTGTTCAGTGAAAAAATGTATTGACTTCATGTACCTGATTAAGTAACTCAGTCTCAGAGAGGAGGACATGTTGCTCCCAGACACAAAGCTGGTTTGATACAAGTTGAGACTCAAGGTCAAGGGTAACTATATCCTACATGCCAGGGGCAGTCCTGATTTTGGCCTGTTGATCTGATGTAATTATCAGTTGCTCTCTGTCACTCTCACTAATCATCCCACGAGAATGACAGACATCAAAGTCACCTTACCTGTTGAGCTCTCTCTGCCATGCCCAGAGGTGGGATATAGGACTCCTGCACAACCTAGGAGGCTCTTTATTCATCCATGAACTGATCCCTGGTCTCCATGGGGATGCTTCAGTGGATTGGAATCCTTGACAAGAGAATACAATTGTTTCTATTAGTGGCACTTTTCATTTGTGTAATTGCTAGTGTGAATGATGTTTCCTTTATACACTTTCCGAAATAACTTTTAAAATGGCTTTAATAAGAACAAACATTTGACCATCATTTAGTTTTTCTTCAGTAGTTGAGAGTACTGCGTTGCTTTAGAATTTCTCTTGGTGAAACATGTATAAATCAGGTCATTCACTTTCTTGTTACCACCTTCTAACACCTTCCCATTGAATGGAAAGGAAATTTCTAACTTCTTTGCATGGCCTGTGTCACTTGAGGTAATATTGTTCCTACTTAGGCTCATTGTCCCTTCTTAGATTCATCTCCTACATGCTAGTATTATTTTTTTGTTTTTTCATGCTTCAAATACGACAGTGAACTTACCCAGATTCAGAGTCTTTGTCTTTGCTGTTTTCTCTGCCTGAACTATTAAACATGTGTCTTACTGCATGTATTTCTTCATGTTTTCATTCTTAGCTCAAATGTTACTATTTCAAGGACCTACCTGACCATATTACCTGAAGTTATCCTTCTCCAGTCACTTCATTATATCACTCTGGTACATCTTATGTAGCATTTCAATTCCTAAATTTACTATGCCTACACGCCTGTGATTGTCTGCCACACTATGCAAATTCTTTCAGGACATAAGCCTCATCTTTCTCAACACTGTACTATCAGCCCCCAGAACAAGGTAGATGCATAGAAAAGGTACAGTGCATAAATGGCAAGTGATTGAAATAACAGAAAATCAAAACCACCAGAAAAGGTCAAACCAAACAGAAAATAAATATGACATCAGTAGTTGTATTGGTTGTGATCCATAAGATGTTACCTATCACAAAATCATGTATTTTATCCCAGAAAAAAATATTAATTATAACTATTATACCAGCACTGTGTTAAGCCTTCTGGAAGTGAGTGTGAACAACAAGATCTCTGTTCCTGAGGGATGTATGACCTTGAAAGATTCTGAATCATAATAAGATACTTTGATGGCAGGGGAAATTAGCACCTCAGAATAAGCCCTAAATAATGTCTGCTTTTTTACTTACATTTTTAAAAAAGAGCAGCATTCAAACAATCTTGAAAATGTTTAGAAAGGGGTTTTACAACATGTTCTTTCCCCACCCCGAGAGTAGTGGGACTGGCATACATTAGAATTTAAAATACGGAACTTGTAGGCTTTAGGAGAATAGTCTCATGTCAGTCCATGCCATCTTTTGTTGGATGAGGATAATAACACCTGCTCTATTGACTCCATTGGTTGACTGTAAGCATCAAATGTTATTATGCCATTTAACAGCACCCAGGCAAGATTTATTATTTCATGAGTGAAAATGTTTCAGACTTGTCTCTTTTTCTTTAAGCAGTTCATGATTGAAGAAATGACTAGATCTAGGTATTACAGAGGCAAACAAAATCCCCATTCTTGGGTTTATCACTTAGTCTCTCCGACTCTGTCTCTCCCATTTGCTTGTGTATCTTTATAAAGCCAGGAGCGAGGGAGCGGCAAATGTTTGCCAACTGGCATTCGCAGAGGAGTCTGGCAGATGACAGGATTGTGTTGTTCCTGTAGGCTACAGTGCACTCTGCTTGCCGGCAGTGGTGGGACTCAGGGAGCTTCACAGTTTTAGCATAGAAGTTGCACACAATTGCTTTTTTATCTAGGCATCATTATCTGGGTCATTTAGAGATGAGAACTGTTAATATTTAATTAACAGTGGCATGTGTAAAGTGCAGAGTTTTACATATTTTTGAATATAAAATTCAAACTCCCCCAGATGTCAACCTCTCTCTGCTCTCTTTCATACTGTGTGTGAGTACACAAGCCTGCTCCAATTCGTTCATGCCTTTGCTTGTTTGCTTTTCCCTGACCATTCTTATATCCTCATTTCCACTTGTCAAAATCCTAATGAAGTCCTAACCTAGTGATTCTCAAACCTGTTTCACAGTATATTCACTTGAGCAGTTTTTTAAAAATATCCATGATAGACTATCATGCCCTGGAGATTTGTGATTCAGTTGATCTCCTGATGGACGTGGAGACTTAAAAAAGTTGTTCTAAGTGATAATATTTAGTTAGTATAGACAAGCATCATCTTATATTTTTCTCTAATAATAAAAAGTGTGCCCCACTTATATGTCCGCCACAGCCATTTATTTGCATCTGTCTTATGGAACTTACCAGATCAGACTTGTCATCTTCATCAGTTTTTATAGTCTATAGTAGAGTTGAAGTCTTTTGGTATCTTCTATGGAACTGTGTTGAATTAAGTTGTATTGGTCACGTTCTTGTCTTTTAATCAAATAGAGTTTTCAAATCCTAGTGAAACTCATCTTCATCAGGGTACGCTTGAGGCTGACATACAGCTGCTCTGAGGCGATGTGGTGCGTCTTAGCTTCCCATGATTCCTTCTGCTGCAGAACGTGGTTGGGTAAAGCAGGTTCCCAGACTCAGGAGTTGCTTTC